AACTATTGTGCATCAAAAGACACATGTATTTGTGTCTGTAATCTCAGTGCTTTGGAAGGCCAAGGTGGGAGTATTGCTTGAAGCCAGGAATTTGAGACCAGCCTGGGCAACACAGTGAGACCTCTGTCTTGACAAAAGTAAAGACCAGGAGTTCAAATTTGCAGTAAGCTATGGTCATACCACTGCTCCAGCCTGGGTGAGGGAGTAAAACTTTGACTCTAAAAAAAATTTTTTAAAAGATAGTATCAACAGAGTAAAAAGGCAAGCCTAAAAATGGTAGACTATATTTGCAAATCAGCTAATCTGATAAAGGACTAATATTCAGAATATAAAGAGAACTACTAAAGCACCACCACAACAAAAGACTTGATTAAAAAATGGGCAAAGGAATTAAATCAGGATTCTGCAAAGAAGATATTCAAATTGCCAATCAGTACATGATAAGATGCTTACCATCACTAAACATAAGGGAAATGCAAATCAAAACTACAATGTGATACCACCTACCATTCATTAGGATGGCAACTATTAAAAAAAACCCCAAAGAACAAACCCCCCCAAAAAGAAAAAAAACCCAAACAAAAACCAGAAAATAACAAGTGTTATTGAGGATGTGGAAAAATAGAAACCCTTGTGTGCTGTTGGTTGGAATGGTGGAAATAGTTGGTTCCTCAAAAATTTAAAAACACAATTGCCAAATGATCCAGTAATTCTACTTTTGGGTATATACCCAAAAAAGAACTGAAAACAGGGTCTGGAAGAAATATCTGCACACAACACATTCATAGCAGCATTATTTGCAATTGCTACTGTATGGAAACAACAGTAGGAGTCCATTGAAGGATGAACAGATCAGGAAAATGTGGTATATCCATAAAATGAAGATTAGCCAGTCTTATTTTTAAAAGGAAGGAAATTCTGACATATACTACAACATGGGGAAACCTTGAGGATATTATGCTAAGTGAAACAGGCCAGTCACCAAAGGACAAATCTTGTATGATTCCACTTAAATGAAGTACTTAGAGTAGTCACAACCACAGAAAGTAGAATAGTGGTTGCTAGGGCTGAGGGGAAAGGGGAGTAGGGAGTTATTGTTTAATGAGTGAAAAGTTTCAGTTTTAGCTGGCATAGTGGCTCATGCCTGTAATCGCAGCACTTTGGGAGGTGGAGGCAAAAGGATTGCCTGAGCCCACGGATTCAAGACCAGCCTGGGCAACTTGGTGAGATCTCATCTCTACAATAAATCTAAAAATTAGCTGGGCATGGTGGCGCACGCCTGTAGTTCCAGCTACTTGGAAGGCTGAGGCGGAAGGATCACCTGAGCACAGCAGGTTGAGGCTTCGGTGGCCATGAGTGTGCCACTACACTCCAGCCTGGATGACAGAGTGAGACTGACTCAAAAAACCCCCAAAAGTTTCAGTTTTACAAGATGAAAAGAGTTATGGAGATGGATGGCGGTGATGGTTTAACATTGTAAGTTCTTTCTTTTTCCTTTTGGAGTCTGGATCTCACTCTGTTGCCCAGGCTAGAGTGCAGTGGGTATGATCACAGCTCACTGCAGCCTCAAATTTCTTGGCTCAAGCAATCCTCCTATCTCAACCTCCTGAGTACAGGGACTACAGGTATGTACTACCATGCCCAGGTAATTTTTTTATTTTTTATTTTTGTAGAGATGAAGTCTCGCTATGTTGCCCAGGCTAGTGGTTTCAAACTCCTGGACTTAAGCAATCTTCCTGTCTCCTAGTGCTAGGATTACAGGCATGAGCCACTGAGCCCAGCCTAACCTTATAAATTTTATGTTATGCATATTTACTATAATTTAAAAAAAGGGGGGGGGATTGTCTGGGTGCAGTGACTCATACTTGTAATCTCAGTAGTTTAGGAGTCCAAGGTAGGAGGACTGCTTGGGGCCAGGAGTTTGAGACCAGCCTGAGCAACATATTGAGACCTGTCTCTAAACAAAAAAGAAATTTAAAAAAGAAAAAAAAAAGTAAAGGGATGAAGAAAGAGATACCATGCCAATACTAATCAAAAGAAAGCTGGAGGAGCCATGTTAATTTCAGACAAAGCTGATCTGAGAGCAGAGATAAAGGGCATGAAATAATGATAAAGACTAAATTCTCCATGAAGATGTAACAATCCTTAATGTGTATATACCTAATACAGCATAAAATTATGTGAGGCAAAAGTTGATAGACTTACAAAAAGAAACAGATGAATCCATTATCATAGCTGGAATCTTTACTATCCCTTTATCAGAAATAAACAGATCCAGTAGGCAGAAACCAGTCAGAACACAGTTGAACTCAAGAGCGCCATCAATCAACTGGATATAATGGATATCTGTAGGCCACTTCATCCAACAACAGCAGAATACATATTCTTCTCAAGCTTACATGGAACATTCACCAAGACAGACCATATTCTGGGCCATAAAACACACCCTAATAAACTCAAAAAAACAAGAAATCACAAAATGTATGTTCTTGGATCACAATGGAATTAAAGTACAAATCAATAACAAAAAAATAGCTGGGAGATGCCCAAACATTTTAAATTAAATTCCCTGGTTTATAGTTTACATTTTTCCTCCAGTATTTCATTATTGTATTTTCCTCTGTAATTACTCTGAACTTTTAAATAACTTTTATCTCAACATACAAATTAAATGTATCATTAGTATGAAGACATTTGAAAAAAGAAATTAGTCTTCAAGTTTTTTTAATTTCAAGAAAATACAATTTTCATAGTACTCAGCCTAAACAACTATGGTACTAAATATTTACCCACAATGTCCAATGTATAAATTAAAACAAGAATTAAAGGCAACCCCCTTGGGTCCCCTCCCACTGTGGGAGCTTTTCTGTCCTCTCAATAAATTCTACTTTCAAAGAAAAAAAAATTGGAATTACAACTATAGTGGCATAACGTCTTAAAGGAAACAACTGTGACTGTTCCACAGCAGAAACTCCTAAAGGTCCCAACAATGCGAAAATGGATGCAGACAAAGACAGGTCAGAAGAACCTCAGTACCCCTATCCTCTAAGATCAGCACCCACCTTTTGCTTTCCAAATACATTCAGAACACCACACTGAAAATCCTGCTCTTGATCGTCTCTAAGAATGTACTCTAATACAACTGAAGAAAAGTTTGTGCTATTTTAATACAGCTCTCTGAAAAGTGCCTCTGACTCCTCCGGGGTTGTTAAGCATTATGCATTAGATTACAGACATATCCACAGCATTCAATCAAATTAAACTAATTCAGGTAACACAAGCAATTTCGCAAAAGCCTGGCTTGCTTAGAGGAACAAATATTTTCATACAAGGTACAAATTAAACATTTTGTCAATAGTATCTTACTTTTCCAAATAAAAATGCCCTCCAACTAATGCATTTTAAATGAATCAGTGAATAAATAGACTTGACTGAAAGAAGCGATATTAAACATAAATGATCCTCCTAAAATGTTTTTCTTCTCCTATGACCCTTACATAGACTACCTTTAGTTTCCTGAGAAAAGGCCAAAAGTCGGGGAAAAGAATTAGTTTTTAACTACAGTGCTCTAATAGTCTTTGGTAATAAACAATCTCACTACTTTACTTGAATATTTTTAGAAACTATTTCTTGAATTGCTTACACCAGCAAAAATATATAACGGAACATTCTATAATCTTTTCTCAGGACTAGGAAATTGAATCCTATTCAGTGAAGAATAAGGAGTAGAAAACTTCCTAACCTTTCATATTTACCCAGAGAAAAACAGGCTACAAACCAGTCAGATCATGAAATAGTCTGGCTTTGACTATATACCTGAAAGATGCTATTAAAAGCATTCTATTATTAAGGCATTACGAAATGTTCAAATTGAGCAATATTCAGTCTAACAAAATTTGAGCATGAACTTTTGTGTGGTTCTGTCAAGTAATTATAATAGAATGTGACAAATGTGTTATACTCTACTCTAAACCTGTGTTTATTAATCTCCCACCTATGCCCCTCCACAACAAACACACAACAAACCTCACTCATGGGCTACACATAACCCACTTCAGAGAGACCCCTCGTGGGGAGAAAAAAACATGCACGTGGTCTGGAAAAGCCCCTCTATGTCATGTCCTCCCTTTCTCTTCCAGTTAAAATCACTGTTTGAAATAATAATTAGTAGAGTTTTGGGAAATTTCTATTTTTAATTGATTAGAGTTAACTTTGAACTAGAATAACTAGTATAAAGAAAAATAAAAAACAATCAGAATTATGGCAAGTCAACAAAAGTAAGTTCAAAACAGAGAGGCAAAGCTCAGATCCAGAAGATAAAATCAACCTAAAAATTTCACTGCAAAGTCTAAGATGCTAAATATATGCATGGGGTTCTCTAAGAAGAAATGCATAAAAACCAGTCTTTTCTAAATCCTTACTTCATTTCCTGAATGGGCTCCTAGCACATGTGGTTTCTGGCAGACTCTCATCCCCACCTCCCCTTCCTACGGGTACTATGATTTCTAAGGCACTGTGCTTAGAGTTCCTCCTTTAGGCTTATGTACTTCTACAAGACCTTAAATTTCACGCTAAAGAAGCATAATCATTTTAGACTTTGTACAGTCCAATCAATGGTAAATGACTCATGCTAGATTCAAATTATTTTACCCACTACATTAAGGAAAAAGAACCATACTCCAGAGGGTCATGAGCAGATAGCTGAACTTGTATGGAAGTATCCCTAAGTTTAATCTGTTAGCAAAATCATCTGAAAAACCCGTTTGTTCTATTTAAGTCTGAATGAATAAACCATGGCCTTCATGACTGCTTTACAACTGTAAAGGTTCAACATAACAAGTACTTAAGAGATTATGGCAATTCATTTACAGAACTGCCTATCAAGAGCAGATGTTGTCCTATGCAAGTTGCCAACTTACAGACTTCTGTCTGTCTAAATACGTACTCCTGTAGTATCTTAGTGATGGGCGAGTTTCCAGGCCCTCTCTGTCCCAACTTACCTTACTGTGTGTGAAGGGGGGCGCTGCGTATAAGGTGGGGTGGATGAGAGGACGAGGCAGGTGTGGGACGGTGTGCAAAGGCACGTGTCCATGGATGTGGGGGTAAAGGTGCAGTGCAGGGTGTGTGGGCTTTTCCGGGCTCATGAACTGATGGCCAGGAGGAAGGGCTCCAGCTGTCATTGCAGATGGCGTTAGTCCAGAAGCTTCTTGTTTACAAACATGACATTCACAAGTGTTCGGAGCTTGTTCAGCCTAAGAGGAAAGAAAAAAATAATCTCACTAGTTATGTAGTGAAAACAAAGAATGGTGTGGATTCAATTAAAGTCACTCACACTCTGTTAAGTAGTTACAAAGCAAATATAAAGGTGGCAGGGTTTGTCCTAAAACCCTGAGTTGACCAGGCCCCTCCTTGAAATGAAAAGAGGGACCCCAAGAAGACGGACTGAAGAAGCTGCAAAGAGAAGAGAGGTACATCTCATTCCCCAGCTGGATGTCCGCTCAGGTGGCAGCCATGGATCTACATCCGATGCCTGATGCAGATAATTTCACTTCCCAAATGTGAGCAGAGAGAAGGGAAATGAAGATGACAGAATGGAGAGAGGGAGCTGGCACTAAGGAGAGTAAAACCAATAGACGGCTATGGCTCCACTTGGGCTCAAACTGCTTCCTAAATGGTTACACAGATTATCCAAAATGAAGTAGAGATGGGACTTTCAGCTAAGGTGGAATAAAGAGGTCAGTGGCTCTTCTCCCTCAGAACAAATGTAAAACTGAACACAATTGTCAATGGCAACCATTTTGAGGCTCTGAAAATCAGCCAAAGGAAAATACTGAGAAGCATTTATTCATGCAAATCAGCTAGAACTTCAGGGAAGAATAGCAGGAGTCTGGCATTCTTGTGTGGAACCCTTTCTGCTCTCTGCACTCCACCCCTAGCTCAGTCGCTGGCAGTGAGCACCAGAGTTTTTTTTTGAGTGGAGTTGTTTTTTTTTTAATTGGAGTCTTACTCTGTCACCTAGGCTGGAGTGCAGTGGCACGCTCTCGGCCACTGCAGCCTTGACCTGCTGGGCTCAGGTGATCCTTCCACCTCAGCCTTCCAAGGAGCTGGAACTATAGGCACGCACCACCATGCCCAGCTAATTTTTTGAGTTATTGTAGAGATGAGGTCTTGCCAAGTTGCCCAGGCTGGTCTTGAACCCCTGGACTCAGGCAATCCTCTCTCCCTAGCCTCCCAAAGTGATGAGATTACAGGAGTGAGCCACCACACCCAGCAAGCAGGGGTGCCAGTAAAAATCAGCTCTTCCCAAAAAGGGCAGCCTAATGTCTGTTAGGCAGAGGCTAAAGCAATAAAAGCAGTGAACTCACAAGGGAATGAACAAGAAAGAAAGCCCATGGCTCTGTTAGCTTGAGACAAGGGTCTTATGTGGGTAAGTGGCAGAGGAGATGCAAAATGAAGAACTTGGAAATGAGAGAGCCATGAGAGGGCTCCTTAAGCTGTCCACAACTCACTGGTTAACCAGGACACCATGATACATGCACAGAGGAGACTGCAGGGACCAGAGGAAGGGGCCACCAGAAATGACTTGAGATCGGGCTGAGCACTGAGTGCATTCAGCAACCTATACACAGGTACATCAGCAAACAGTGGAGCAGTGGAGCCCCTGTGCTTTCAAAGTGCATGGGGCTACCTCTGCCCAAGTAATCAGTTGACCAATAAGCAAGGCGGACAAAGGGGAGACCTCTAAAATCAAGCTAAAAAACAGAGTAAAGTATGTGAGTTGAGACATTGCAACTAACTACATAATGTGGGGCATATAGATTGTGCAACTTAACCCAGGAAAGTAACAAAAGCAAAGAAACACAAAATCAACAAATTAACTTTGAAAAGGGAAAGTCACAATGCAAAGTTGCCGCATTATTTTAAATGTCCAGTTTTTCAAGAAAAAATTATAAGACATGCAAAGAAAAAGAAAAATCGTGTTCAACATTTAAGAAATGAATAGTTGGGCAACCCCTTCAGGTTCCCTCCTGCTGTGGGAGTTTTTCTGTCCTCTCAATAAATCCTGCTTTCACTTAAAAAAAAAAATGACTAGTCAAACAGTCAATAGAAACTGGTTATGAGTGGGTCCAGATGCTAAATTGGCACACAAAGCTATAAAATCAGCTGTTGTAACAGGTTCAGAGAATTAAAGGAAAACATGGAAACAACGATTCAACAAACAGAGAATTAAAGAGAAACTTCAAAAAAGAATATAAATTCTGAAGGTGAAAAAGTACAATAACTAAATAAAAATTTCACTAAAGAGGTTCAAAAGCAAATGTAAGATGGAAGGAAAAGAATCGGTGAACTTGAAGACAGAATAACAGAAACTATCCATCTAAAGAACAGGGAAAAAAGAGATTAAAGAAAAATACATAAATGTTCAGAGATTTGTGGAAAAGCATTAAGTATACAAACATGCATGTAACAAAGGCTCAGAGGGAAGAAGAGTGAAAAGAGGGAAGAAGACTATAAAAGAAATAAGAGTCAACATTTCCCAACCTTGATAAAAAATTAATTTACAGATCCAAGAAGCTCAATGAGCCCTAAAATGGATAAAAACAAAGAGATACTGAGAACTGCAGAACTAAGGCTTCCAGCAGCCCAAGGCCATGTCCCTTGGATGACCCCAGTCCCCATTAAAATGCCTGTCTGAGAAAGGAGAACTGCTTGCAGGAGAACTATTTCTTCTAGCCAACACCTGAGACTGTAAGAAATGTACCACTCTGGTGCACAATTTTGATAGTGGGGGACGCTGTATATGAGGATACTGGGTATAGAAGACCTCCATAACTTTCACTCAACTTTGTTGTATACCTAAAGCTGCTTTTTAAAAAAAATGCTGGGTTTTGTTGTTGTTGTTTTAATGAAGGCAAAATAAAGACATTTACACATAAAGACTGAGACTAACTACTAGCGAAGTGATCCTATAAGAAATATTCAAGGCCGGGCTTGGTAGCTCAGCCTGTAAACCCAGCGCTTTGGGAGGCCGAGGTGAGTGGATTGCCTGAGCCCGCGGGTTCATGACCTGCCCGGGCAACTTGGCGAGACCTCATCTCTACAATAAATCAAAAATTAGCCTGGCGTGGTAGCGCGCGCCTGTAATTCCAGCTACTTGGAAGGCTGAGGGGGAAGGATCGCCGGAGCCCAGCGGGTCGAGGCTGCGGTGACAGGGAGCGGCCACTGCACTCCAGTCTAGGCAACTGAGTGAGACTCCAACTCAAAAAAACAAAAAAAAAAAGAAATATTCAACAGAAATGATACTGAGCTCCTTTCTTTGCTCTTAATTTCTCTAAAATAAAACTATAAAAAGCAACAATTGTAATACATTATTGATTTATTATAATATCTATACAAGTAATAAATATATAGTACAATAATATTACAAAGGAGGAAGAAGGAAATGGAGTAATATTAAATAATGTTTGTATATTTTACTGGAATTAAGTCACTATCTGGAGTAGATAGACAGTGATAAAGATGCATACTGCAATCCTTATAGCAGTCACTAAGAAAAACATAATTCAAGAATCAACAGCAAAATTTAAATGGTTGACTAAAAATTTTGTTCAGAGTGGATAAAAATGCAAGGGCCAACCAAAAGATTCAAAGACAAATTTTAGATGCATAGACACAAAGAAGCTGAAAGCAAAAGGATGAAAAATTTAACATGCATACAGTAATTTAAGAAGCTGGAGTAGTTAGACTAGTATCAGAAAAAAAAGAGTTTAAGGTAAGAAATACTAGTAGAGAAGACTTTTGTAATGACAAAAGGGTCAATATATCAGGGGGCTATAGTAAAAGTGCACTCAACAGCATCATTCCCAAATGCATAAATCAAGAACTGGCAGAATTTGGTCAGGTGTGGTGGCTCACACTTGTAATCCCAGCACTTTGGGAGGCTGAGTCAAGAGAACTGCTTGGGCCCAGGAGTTCAAGTCCAGCCTAGGCTACATAGCAAGACCTCATCACTACAAAAAAAAAATTTAAAAATTAGCTCGGCATGGTGGTATGTGCCTAGAGTCCCAGCTACTCAAGGAAGCTGCAGTGGAAGGACTGCCTGAGCCAAGGAACTTGAGGCTGCAGTGACCCACGACAGAGTCACTATACTACAGCCAGGGTGACAGAGTGAGAACCCAACTAAAAAGACCAAAAACTAGCTGAACTGAAAGAAGTAAATAATCTAACAGTTATATTTGGAGACTTCAATTTGTTCTTTAGTAATTTAAATAACAACTAGACAGAAAATCAGTAAGAACATATGCTATAGTCTGACTATCTGTGAACCTCCAAAATTTCTAAGTTGAAACCTTAATCTCTACGGTGATGGAGTTAGGAGGTGGGGGAACTTTATGAGTCTTTGCTTTCTGGGAAGGGATTAGTGCCCTTATAAAAGAGGCTCAAGAGAGCTTCTCTGTCCCTCCTACCATGGTTATAGTGAGAAGACCCCATCTATGAGGAAGCAGGCCCTCACCAAATCTGCTGCTGCCTTGATCTTGGAATTCACAGCCTCCGAGCTGTGATAAATTTCTGTTGTTCATAAGCCATCTAGTCTACGGCATTTTTGTTCTAGCAGCCCGAAGAAGAAAATATGGAAAATCTAAACAGTGCCATAACCAACCTGACCAAATTTTCATTTATAGAATATTCAACACAAGAAGAGCAAGATACAAATTATATTTAAGTATATGCTATCTAGGACAGACCAGATGTTAGGCCATAAAACAAATCTCAATAAATCTGAAAGTTCTAAAGTTAGTAATCTAAGCTTTGTTTCAACAAACTAGAAAAAGAAGAGCAAACCAAACCCAAAGAATATAGAACGCAATAATGAAGATCATAATGAAAACTAATTAACTAGCAAAGAGAAAAACAGAGAAAACTTCAAACAAAAACAAAAAAAACAAAACAAAAGACAAGAAAATTAACAAAACAAAAATTTACCATTTATAAGACCAACAAAATTGACAAATCTTTAGCCTGAGGGGGTTAAAAAAGAGAAGACGAAATTACTAAAATCAAGAATTAAGGACAAAGGTGGCTCATGTCTATAATCTCAGCACTTTGGGAGGTAATGGCAAGAGGACTGCCTGAGCCCAGGGTTTGAGACTAGCCTGGGCAACTTGGTGAAACCTCGTCTCTACAATAAATAAAAACTGTTAGTCAGGCATAGTGGCAAGCCTGTAGTTCCAGCCTAAGCCCAGCAGGTCAAAGCTGTAGTGGCTGTGAATGTGCCACTGCACTGCAGACTGGGTAACAGAGACTCTGACTCAAAAAAAAAAAAAAAAATTAACATCACTACAAATCCTACAGCTCCTAGAGAATATAAAAACTTCAAATCAACAAATTAGACAACAGATGAAGTGAGGAAATTTCTAGAAAGAAAGAAGTTATTAAAATTATCCCAGAAGCCGGGCTCGGTGGCTCAGTCTGTAATCCCACACTTTGGGAGGCTGAGGTCAGTGGATTGCCTGAGCCCACGGGTTCGAGACCCGCCTGAGCAACTTGGCGAGACCTCATCTCTACAATAAATCAAAAAAAATTAGCCGGGTGTGGTAGCGCATGCCTACAGTTCCAGCTACTTGGAAGGCTGAGGCAGAAGGATCGCCAGAGCCCAGCAGATTGAGGCTGCGGTGGCCAGGAGCGGCCACTGCACTCCAGTCTGGGTGACAGAGTGAGATACCAACTCAAAAAAAAAAAAAAAAATTATCCCAGAAATAGAAAATCTGAATAAACCTATTACAGGTAAACAAAATTTGAATTAGTAATTACAAATCCCCGCCAACACATACACACACAAGACCAGACTCACAGAATTTTGCTGGTAAATTCTATCAAATACTTATTTAAGAAATCTAAATCTTAGACAAATTCCTTCAGAAAACACAGATAGGAGAAACAGTTCCCAACTCATTCTATGAAGCCAGTATTACCCTGACACTAAAGTCAGGCAAAGACATCCTAACAAAATATCAGCAAACCAATTCAGCAATATATGAAAAGAATTATACATCATCACCAAATGGGATTTATCCCAGAAACTCAGATTGGTTTGATATCCTTAAATCAACTGGTATGACACACCACAGTAACAGAATAAAGGATGAAAACCATAGGATCAACTTAAAAGATGCAGAAAAGGCATTTGAAAATCCATTACACATATAATTCAATATAAATTCATGATAAAACTCAAGAAACTAGGAATAGAACAGAATTTCCTCAACCTAATAAAGGGCATATAAGAAAAACCTGAAGCTAGTATATCAGACTTAGTGGTCAAAAATAACTGCTTTCCCCCTAAAACTGGAAACAAGGCAAAGATGTCTTTTTGTACCATTTCTATTCAATACTGTACTAGAGGTTCTAGCTAGCTCAGTAAGTTGAGATAATGTGATCTTGTATAAAGAAAATCCAAAGGAATCCACCAAAAAAACAAAAAAGCCCCATCCCTACTAGAATTAATAAACAAGTTTTGCAGAACACAAGATCAATTGTATTTCTGTATATTACCAACAATTGTTGGAAAACGAAATTAGAAAATACCTTCTGGCCAGGTTCGGAGGCTCAGCCTGTAATCCCAGCACTTTGGGAGGATGAGGCAAGTGGACTGCCTGAGCCCGTGGGTTCGAGACCCGCCTGGGCAACTTAGCGAGATCTCGTCTCTACAATAAATCAAAAATTCGCTGGGAGTGGTAGTGTGCACCTATAGTTCCGTCTACTTGGAAGGCTGAGGTGGAAGGATCGCTTGGAGCCCAGCAGGGTGAAGCTGCGGTGGCCGGGAGTGTGCACTGCACTCCAGTCTAGGCGACAAAGTAAGACTCCAACTCAGGAAGAAAAAGAAAATACCTTCTACTGCAGAATAAAAAAACACCTAATACTTAAGAACAAATTTAAGAACTAAGTTTCAGAGCCAAAGAGTGAAAGATTTTAAAAACTGCTAAGAGAAATGAAAGACTACTTAAATAAATGGCAAGATACAGCATGTGCATATATTAAAAGATTCTATTTTGCTAGAAATGTATTCTTCCCAAATTGATCAACATCATTCCACAAAGAAAAGAACATACTCAGAAGATTTGCTGGTAAATTCTAAAATATATTCAAGAATTCAAAGCAATCCCAATAAAAATCCAAGCAGGCTTTTTTGTAGAAGCTGACAAGTTGATCCTAAAATTTATATAAGAATGCAAGAAATCAAAAGCATGATTCATAAAAGAAAGTAATGATAAACAGAAATGCATTAAAATCAAAAATTTTGCTTTTCGAAAGATGCCATAAAAAAATCAACAGACGAGCCGGGCTTGGTGGCTCAGCCTGTAATCCTGCACCTTTGGGAGGCTGAGATGAGTGGATTGCCTTAGCCCGCGGGTTCGAGACCCGCCTGGGCAGGCGCAACCTCATCTCTACAATAAATAAAAAAAAAATCAGCCGGGTATGGTAGCGCATGCCTGTAATTCCAGCTAACTGGAAGGCTGAGGCGGAAGGATCGCCAGAGCCCAGCAGGTCGAGGCTGCGGTGGTCGGGAGCGGCCACTGCACTCCAGTCTGGGTGACAGAGTGAGACTCCAACTCAAAAAAAAAAAAAAAAATCAACAGACATGCCACAGACCAACAGAAAATATCACAAGTTATATATATGTACATATGTGTGTATGTATGTAGTGTGTGTGTGTGTGTGTGTGTATTCTGGTTCCCAAAAATTAAGACAGGGTCTAACTCAGTTGCCCAGACTGGTCTCAAGCTAGCCTCCAGCCTTAGTCTCCCGAAGTGCTGGGATTACAGGTGTGAGCCACCATGCCTGGCCATAAATCATATATTTTTGATAAAGGACTTGTATCCAATATATTAAAAACTCTTATATACATAATAAGATACAAAAGGAAACAAATAGCTTTTAAATATATGAAAGGATGCTCAATTCCACTCATAAAAAGTGAGATGTGGCCAGGTGTGGTGGCTCATGCCTGTAAACCTAGCACTTTGGGAGGCAGAGGCAAGAGGATTGCTTGAGCCCAAGGGTTCAAGACCAGTTTGGGCAACGTGGCGAAACCTCATCTCTACAATAAATCAAAAAAATTAGTCAGGTGTGGTGGCGCATGCTTGTGGTTCCAGTTACTTGAAGGCTGAGGTGGAAGGATCACCCAAGCCCAGCAGGTCAAGGCTGCAGTGGCCTAAGTGCGCCACTGCACTCCAGCCTGGGTGACAGAGTGAGACTCCAACTCAAAAAAAAAAAAAAAAAAAAGAATAACTATTTGCATTTGCATACAATAAATAAGTAAAACTGATTATCTAATGGAAATAGGGACTGGGAGTCCACAGGTGTTGGACAGGGTAGATGGGGAAGGAGGTGGGGCAAGATTTCTCAATGTGTACTTTTCAATATCATTACCTTTATTGTATGAATCTTTTATTTGCATTACTTAATAAAATGAATTAGCAGTTAAACATCTTGACATTCATTTAAAAACTGCTTACTGAGTATCTATTATAAAACTCTGTGCCATTTATAAAAAATAACAGTCTGATACAGCACTCTCACCTTTGGTTAACAGAAAAACTGATACTGAATGGGGGTATTGGATACCCCCTATGAAAAACAAACATTTTCTGAAATTTTAACTTTCCATTATTTTATTAAAACAACAACAACAACAAAAACCACAAACCTCTTTGCTTCTATACAGACACAAAAACAACTCCATGACACCTAAATATACGGAGCTACCATGGGATGTTGCAAAATCAAGATTGATAATTACAGATCAAGCAAGAGAAACAAAATTAGCATAGGGTTGTTTATAAGTATGCCTTGATTCTCTCCAGTTCTAGTCTTCAGAAATTACTGGAATAGAATAACTGTGTGCTCAATAATTTTAGAGAAAACATACACAGAAAAAGAAACCCTTAGCAAAACAGGAAACTTAAAAACATAAAATACTACCTGCTGAGTTGGATAAGATGAGGGTGAACTGTCCACTTTGCTTTCCTCTTTCCTGGGGCTCCTATTTTCCAGATCTCCATCTTCCTTTGGGATTCCTGGTGGCTCCCCACTACTCTCACCATCTGCTTCTTCGTCGTCAGCTTCCGAAGAACTGCTACTGGTACTGCTTACCTGAGGAGACTTTAAAAGCAGCTTTTTATAATTTAATTACACTTTTCAAAACAAAAGAGTAATATAAAAAATTTAAACCAGACGACCATTTTATGTTATTTACTGTTGCTATGAAGAAACCATACCTCATCTTTCAGGGCCATATTTTCCCCACCACCATTCAACTCGCTGTGGATTCCATTCATGTTGGCCACCACCTCTGTGTCATCGTAGTTACTCAGTGGATAAATATCAGCAAATTTAGCTGACAATGGTGCGACATCTTCATCATCACTACAACTGAGATAAGCAGAGACGGTCACCATGAAGCCATCCAATTCAATTGGGAAGGACAGTGACCACCCATTAGACATTTCGTTTACAAATCATTGTTTTCATTTACAAAGAATATTATGTTAAGTATCCTTCACACTACTTAACATCTCTTAGTTACCTGCACATGAGAAAAACATCTGGAAGATGAACACTTGTGTTATTTGGAAGAATGGGGAAAACAAACCCTCCAAAAGTAGAATACTAAGGAAACCACAAAAATTTAATCATATTAACTGATTAACGTTTATATCTCCATTTGACCTGAAGACCCATGGTGTAAAACTCTCTGCTACTCCAAGCAATTTTTGATTAAAATTAAAGGGGTACGAGAGAGCAACCTTAGATCTTTAGTACCGCGGGCTCAGCAATCCACTCACCTCAGCCTCCCAAAGGCGTGGGATTTACAGACTGAGCCACTGAGCCCAGTCATGTTTGCTTTTTTTTTTGGAGTTGGAGTCTCACTCTGTCGCCCAGACTGGAGTGCAGTGGCCGCTCCTGACCACCGCAGCCTCGCCTGCTGGGATCCGGTGATCCTTCCGCCTCAGCCTTCCAAGTAGCCAGAATTACAGGCATGCGCTACCACGCCGGCGGATTTTTTGGTTTATTGTAGAGATGAGGTCTTGCTGCCCAGGCGGGTCTCGAACCCGTGGGCTCAGGCAATCCACTCACCTCAGCCTCCCAAAGGCGCGGGATTACAGGCTGAGCCACCGAGCCCGGCCGTGTTTGCTTTTTTAACCACCAAATTTTCAGCAAGTCAGTTGAGCAAAACCTTGAGAGACTTATGCAACAAAATACTAAAACTTTTTTGCTACAAGATCAGGCATGGTCTGGTCAATCATGATCTTAATTATTTTATTTATTTATATTTGAATTGGGGTTTCACTCTGTTGCCCAGGCTAGAGTGCTTTAGCAAGACATCTAAGCAATGGGCAAATGTAATGTTTACTAAAAAAATTTTAAAACAGATTTCAAGGCTTTAGTCTACTAAGGCCACTTATAACATATGATCTTCTGGTACATGAAAGGAACTGATAGAGTTCAAGTTCTGTGTAACTGGAAGTCCCAGGGACCACACAAACAAGCCACTGAGTCCATCTTCAGCTTGGGTGTACCATGACTTCCAGAAAGTAAAAATTTTAAGAACTGGTTGTCTTAAGTTTTTTTTTTTTGAGTCGGGGTCTCACTCTGTCGCCCAGGCTGAAGTGCAGTGACACAATCACAGCTAGTTCACCACAGCCTCAACCTCCCAGGTTCACGTGATCCTTCCATCTCAACTTCCCAAGTAGATGGAACTGCAGGCGCACCACCCACAGCTGGCTAATTTTTTAAATTTTGTGTAGAGATAAGGTCTCACTCTCTCTCTCTCTCTTTTTTTTTTTTGAGTTGGAGTCTCACTCCATCGCCCAGACTGGAGGGCAGTGGCACGCTCCTGGCCACCACAGCCTCGACCTGCTGGGCTCCGGCGATCCTTCTGTCTCAGCTTTCCAAGTAGCTGGAACCACAGGCGCGCGCTAGCACGCACAGCTAATTTTTTGATTTATTAGAGATGAGGTCTCGCCAAGTTGCCCAGGTGGGTCTTGAACTTGCGGGCTCAGGCAATTCACTCACCTCGGCCTCCCAAGGCGTGGGAATACAGGCTGAGCCACCGAGCCTGGCCCATCTTAAGTTTTTAGGAAAGAATGGCCAAGATTACCACAATCAAGTGTCTTTTCCACGTCTAAGAAAGCAAGATTCAACACACTACAATGTATTATAATCTGGAGTTCACCAAAGAGAAGCTCAAACAGCATCTACCAGGTAAAGGGTGCTCAGGTTTCCTGAGGGTCTAAGGACCCCGAGGTGATGAAGCATGTTGCCTCAGTCAACACCCACACCCACTCCTGTGTCATTATCATTCTTCCAATTTACAATTGAGGAAACCAAGGTTCTAAAATGAAGCAACTCAACCATTTGCCCCACGTGATGATGGGAGGCTCCACCAACCCTAGCACCCATGAGATCCAGAAAGCTCTGCAGTATTATAACTGTATAACCATCCTTTTTAAACCAATTTTGAAAAAGTACCAAAAAACACAGCACAAACCAAAGATAACACTGGAGATTTTCAAACCATGGCAGTTCAAGTTGCTGAGGGCCTAATAATCGAAGACCCCAGGCTCTTCCCACCAATGGTAAGCAGTGATGGCCCAAGGAGAAAGGCTCCCACAGCCAATAACTTCCACTACTGAACGCGGGACAAGAGCCCACAACTGACATCAGCAGCTGAGACAAATGGCAGGAATGAAATTTTCTAGCCTAAATTTGTATTTGACTATACATGTTTCTCTGTTTCTGTAAAAAGCTGGGCAACAGTTAGCTGCAAAACCCTCTGTTTTATTCCCTGAAGAGTGCACAATGTCTCTGAAGCTTTAAAGCAGCTTGTAATCTTTCAGTGAAGACAGTCATGGAGTTCACACCAGTCCTTTTGAATTATTTTGTTTTTGAGAACAAGCCCACGTTAAGAATCGAAAGACTCAAGAAAGATGCCAGAGTGACTATAAGAAATCCAGATGGAGAGAATGGACACACACTGGTCAGTCAGAGAAATCTGAGAAATGCTGAGCAGCCAGGGTCAGTTCCAAAATCCCTCCAAAGGACATGCAACCCTGCATGCTCTAAAAGACATGTAACATAAAAATAAGTTTACTTGAGTAACTACATACATTCAGGTGCAACTCTTCTAGAAGGTCACAACTCTGAAAAAATCTGGGACCAGCCATCTACAACACGAATTGGTGACAACTAACAGCCACCTTGCTACTACGAAATGCACTTCTAATAATGTAGGAACACGAAAACAGAAAATTTCAATAGCTTGCTAAAGTGACTGTCTGAGTTCTTAGCAAGACATGGAACAGGCATGAAGGCTGGGCTGACAGATGAGGCAGATGGACAGTGGCTGGTCACCCTCCAGGAGAATGAGGAGAAGTGAGGCCAGAATTGAAGACACTTCCCTGCAGACCAACATGTAGTTTTTTTTACTAGCACTGATTAGTCTACCATATTTTTTTCAGGTAATGAAATAGTGTAAAAGTTTGGGTTTGCTGATTTCATGTTTTAAAAGTTGTTTAAAGAAAAGGGTCCTTTTTCAAGAGGAGCACAATAATCATGTTCATACTTCTGTAGACAATAATGTCTCTATTACTCATTATTGGATCACTTAAATTTCTGAAACTTTATTTCAAAGTTACAACTTACAAAGTTGGTGCAGAGCCATTGTCTGTGAGGATGAGTCTGGGATGTTGCTGAATTGTAATGGGAGAGCTGGAGCCTGACCCTGAGCTTGCTGATGACACACTGGGTGGGCGCATCTCAGAGAGATAGTCGGGAGCAGAGTCCACTTGCAGTGGTAGCTGGTGAATGTGGATGTCATCAGTGACGGGTGGGTCCATGATACCACAAGTGAGGATGTGTGAGAGGCTGCAGTCATCACAAGCACATCTGATTGGGAATTAAGGACAGTTACCAAGAGAGTCAATAGAGAAGGCCAGACCGTGTTCTTGATGGTCGGTTCCAGCCTCTACTTGGTTCAGTGAAGGTCCCAAGGCCCACTTCACCCACACAATGACCCAGGCTCACCTTCTCCGGTAGCTACAGTTGGGGCAGTCGGGCACACTCAGCCGGGATGACAGCATGTGCCTCATAGTGTCTGTGAAGTTGTTCTCACCAGCAACTACTTTCTTGTTCGTTAACTAAGGAAAACGAAAAGGTGATGATTTAACTTGTCAGGACACCTCTCCCATTCCATGGCTCATATTTTTCAGTTACTATGGTCATATGCATCATGCTCATGGGCATAGCTTCCTCCAGTGGGACAGAACCAGGAAAACAGGGGCAGCAGCTCTGTAGTATGCAGCAGCCAAGAGGTAAGCTACACTAGGGTTCAGGTGCCAGGAGTGTCTGAACGCTTTCATCCTCAGCAAATAGCTATGATGCAGCCTCATAGCAGATATCTGTACACCCTGTCTGCTGTGTGCTCGGTACTTGCTAGTTACCAGGAAAGGAGCTGTAGGAAAAGAGACCGGCACATGGAGGAGAAGGCGTGTACCTGGAAATCATCGAGAAGGTGGCATCTAAACTTCCAATTGACTAGGCAAGCATCCGGATTTGAAAAGAGAAGGAACTCTGGACCAGCTCTGGCAATGGAACAAGTGGCAGCTGGAGGGGCCACTCAACAGGACAAGACACATGCAGAATGTAGTGGGGGGGGGCAGGTGAGTGGACTGAACACAGGTGTCATCTATATTCCTGTGGTATTCAGAGGAAACCATGGGACTGAGAATGTAGAGGCAAACACAGGGCCAAGGCCAGGGAACACCAGTATTTACGGAAGGCTAAGGGAGGGGAGTTCACAAAGGAGGTGGAGAAAATGTCAGAGGAAGAGAGTTGCTGTGGTGCGTGGATGGGAGATCAAGGGAAGCAAGCTCCCAAATGAAGTTGAATACCCTGAGACCCATTATGGGAAGGTCACCAGAGAGCTCTGCCAAACAGCATCACTGACAGAGGGCAAGACTGCTTAGAGAAAGCACCACTGAAAATAGGAAGAAAGGGGAGTCCAGCTTTGCCAATAGCCACACTGAAGGCACAGCACTCTGTTAGGAGAGCCTGGGCCCCAATCCCAGCTCTTTGACATCAGACAACATCCTTAACCTCACCCCGTCATCCTCCTTGTGTGTAACCTGAAGATGTGACACCACCTCCCTTACAGGAGACTGTGGGGACTCGGGGCACTATCCTTTGAAAAATACCCAGGACTGCTATAGGCGAGAGAGGTCATTCAATAGACACAGGTTTTCCTTGAGAAGTACGAGGGGAACCCAAAAAACACGAAACTGTCTTTTGAAGAGTGGGCCCTTTATGGTACAGGCTTCCTCCGCTAGGTATGTGTTCTAGGAACCCATCGGTATCAGTGTACCAGCTAGCATTCTTGTAAGAGGCTAAGTTTGGTCTCAGTGAATTTTTTTCCCAAAGTTCCTTCAATCTCATCCCAAGTGACTTTTTCTGTTTCCCTGGATGAAAAAAGCCCTCAAAGAAAAACTTTTTACCGATGTGGAAGAGGTGAAACAAAAAAAGGTAGGAGCACTAGAAGGCATCCAAATTGACAATTGAGCAGTGGAAAAAGCATCTTGATCGGTGTATTCCACCATAGAGTAATATGAAGGTGACTGAATTTTAAACATTTAAGAATCAATAACACAATTTTTAATAAATAAATTCCATCTTTTTGGGGTCCCCCTCATATATGAAAGATAAGGAAATAGGTCAACAAAACTAGTTTAGCTTGAGATAAATACACTGTCTTGAACAGTTTTAACGTTGGCAGGACATGCCAATGTGGTCCTCAAATGTTGTTCTAACAGGGCACATTAACATGCAAATAAATCATTCGCTCGAAGGAATTCGATTTCCTTTATTTGTCCCTCTTATTAACAAGGTTACCTGTTCTTCGATGAATCTTCTTTGTTTAAAAAGCTCCCAGTCTTCTGTTAACATGCGCTGTTTGGTTTTCATTGTCATCTAGTAACGGGATTAAAACAAAAAAACAAAATAACCACAAAAAATACATTAGTAGCAGGAACAGCTATACAAGACATTTTCAAGGGGAGATTTTAAAAGTTGATATATATGAGAAATATCATCTGCAAACAAAAAAATAAAATAAAGATACAATACTATAAATATGTTACCAGGTGTTCTATTTCATCATCTTACATGACTTACTCAAAATCATCACAAGTACTTTTCTTATATGAAAGACGCATAGGGATGAGGCCGTTGCTCTTCACTGCCAGTGCTGCCTCTAGCTCGCTGATCTCCAGCCGAAGGAGAAGGAGTAAGTAGGAAGGTCTCTATACCATGGCTCGTACAAAGCAGACTGCCTGCAAATCAACCGGTGGTAAAGCACCCAGGAAGCAAAAGCTGCTCGCAAAAGTGCACCCTCTACTGGAGGGGTGAAGAAACCTCATCTTTACAGGTCTGAACTTTGGATGTGCAAACTTCCTTTCCAGGCTGGTGCAAGAAATTGCTCAGGACTTCAGAACAGATCTGGGCTTCCAGAGCACAGCTACTGGTGCTTTGCAGGAGGCATGTGGGCCTATCTGGTTGGCCTTTTTGAAGACACCAACTTGTGTGCTATTCATCCCAAATGTGTAACAATTATGCCAAAAGACATCCAGCTAGCACTGCATACATGGAGAACGTACTTAAATGGGAAACACTTCACTGTCAAAAAAAAGTGTCTCTTCTTCCTGTTATTGGCAGTCCTGAATGTTAGGGTTCCCACCCCCATGGGGTCAAACGGTACCTAAGTATATGACTGTGAGTGGAAAAACAGGAAACAGCAATCAGATATGGGCAACTTTTCAACGTTCATCTGTGTGTGAAGTCTTAATATAAAAGCGAGGATATAAGGCATTAACGCAAGCCAAATGTTTCAGCAAACGAGTTTCAGTTGTTCAACTTTATAACAATTATAAATAAACCTGTTAAATTTTTCTGGACAATGCCAGCATTTGGATTTTTTAAAAACAAGTAAATTTCTTAATGACAGCAACTAAATGGCGTTTGTAACATTTTTATCATAAAGTAGATTCCATCCATTCACTAGACTTTTCTGAGTTGTCCTACGTGCAAGTGCATGTGATTGTTCTTTTTCTTGAGTCGGAGTCTTACTCAGTCACCCAGGCTGGAGTGCAATGGCAATGCTCACAACTACTGCAGCTTCGACCTACTGGGCTCAGGTGATGTTTTCACTTTAGCCTTAAAAGTACCTGGAACTATAGGCATGCACCACCACGCCCAGCTAATTTTTAAAAAATTTACTGGAGAGATGAAGTTTCACCATGCTCCCAGCCTAGTCTCGAACCCGTGGGCGTAGGCAATCCTCTTGCCTCTGCCTCCCAAAGTGCTGGGACTGCAGGCGTGAGCCACCGCACCGGCAAGTACACATTTTTAATGTTGTCTGTCTTCTGTGCTGTTTCTGTAAGTTTGCTATTAAAACACATTAAATTAAAAAAAGAAAAGAAAGAAAGAAAAACACATAGAGATGAGTAAACATTAAAAGGAGAAATTATATTTTGGGAGGCAGAGGTGAGAAGATTGCCTGAGCCCAGGGCTTTGAGAGCAGACTGGGCAACTTGGTGAGACCTCATCTGTACAATAAATCAAAAAAATTAGCTGGGCGTGATGGCACATGCCTGTAGTTCCAGCTACCTGGAAGGCTGAGGCGGAAGGATCACTTAAGCCCAGCAGGTAGAGGCTGCGGTGGCTGTGAGCATGCCACTGTGTTCTAGCCTGGCCACAGAGTGAGACTTTGGCTCAAAAACAAACAAAAAAAGATAAATAAAGATATTCTAGCAAAATCTACCAATACAGTGAATGAACATTCAATATGTACTGAATGTCCCTTTTGTGCCCTAAACGTGTTATAATAAAAAAGATGAAGGCACTCCAATTCTGCTGTGTGATAAGCTCAGACCACAGGAGAGGAAGACCTATTAACAGGTACACTGAAACAATTCAGCTGAGTCTTGGAAACATCATGCTGAGTGAAACAAGCCAAACACAAGGGGACAAACACTGTGATTCCATTCATGGGAGGTTCCTAGAGTAATCAAATACACAGAGACAGGAAGTAGAATCATGGGTCCCAAGGGCTGAGGGAAGAGGGGTGAGGAGTTAGTATTTAATGGGGAAAGAGCTTCAGTTTGGTAAGATAAAAAAGTTCTGGAGATGAATGGTGGTGATGGTTGAACAACATGAACGCACTTAGTGCACTGAATTGTATACTTGAAAATGGCTAAGGTGGTAAATTTCATGTTATATATATTCTACCACAGTTAAAAAGTAAAAGTTGAGGGGAACAGGGAATAAAGAATGGACTCAAGGCACTGTTTTATTTGAGAGAGGTAAACTATGAAGTGATTAAATCTTAGTGTTTATATCATTATTTAAAACTTATAGACCGGGCTCGGTTGCTCAGCCTGTAATCCCAGCACTTTGGGAGGCCAAGACGAATGGACTGCCTGAACCCGCGGGTTGAGACCAGTCCAGGCAACTTGGCAAGACCTCATTTCTACAATAAATCAGAAAAATAGCTGAGCGTAGTAATGAGCACCTGCAGTTTCGGCTACTTGGAAGGCTGAAGTGGAAGGATCACCAGAGTCCAGCAGTTTGAGGCTGGGGTGGCTGTGAGTGTGCCACTGCACTCCAGCCTGGGTGACGAGTGAGACTCCAACTCAAAATAAATAAAAAGAAAATTTACAATAAATGACTACAAAATAAAAGTGAGGTATATGTCTTCCAAAATGTTAGAAGAAAATTAGGGACTGCAGAAATACGTCTAATCCTATAGGCAAGAAAATACCACCAAGAAACCCTCTAAAATAAATGAAGAATGGTTGCATAAAACAACAAGATTCAAGCTGGGCTCGGTGGCAGAGCCTGCAATTCCAGGACTTTGGGAGGCTGAGGCGAGTGGACTGCCTGAGCCCACGGATTCGAGACCCACCCAGGTAACTTGGTGAGACCTCTGTCTCTACAATAAATCAAAAATTAGCCAGACGTGATAGTGCATGCCTGTAGTTCCAGCTACTTGCAAGGCTGAGGCAGAAGGATCGCCGGAGTCCAGCAGGTCGAGGCTGCAGTGGCCGGAAGTATGTCACTGCATTCCAGTCTGGGCGAGAGTGAGACTTCAACTCAAAAACAAAACAAAATTTTAAAAATACCCAACAAGATTCATGCACCTGAAATTTTTAAACATTGTTTAAACTGCCAGGGAAGAGCCGGGCTTGGTGGCTCAGCCTGTAATCGCGCGCCTTGGGAGGTTGAGGTGAGTGGATTGCCTGAGCCCGTGGGTTCGAGACCCGCCTGGGCAACTTGGCGAGACCTCATCTCTACAAAAAATTAGCCAGGCATGGTAGCGCGTGCCTGTAGTTCCAACTACTGGAGGGCTGAGGTGGAAGGATTGCGGGAGCCCAGCAAGTCAAGGCTGCGGTGGCCGAGAGCGGCCACTGCACTCCAGTCTGGACAACAGAGTGAGACTCCAACTCAAAACAAAACAAAACAAAACAAAACAAAAAAAAGCTGCCAGGGAAGAAATCAAAGTTGAAATTACAGTCTATTTAGAAATAATTGACAATGAACGCCCCACAAATCAAATCTTATAAGATGTACCTAAATACGCAGAAGACTGAAAAATAAGTGTTCAACTTAAGAAGCTAAATAAAACTAATAAAATAGGAAGGAAATAAAGGTAAAAGGAGATATTACTGAGAAAAGATACAAGGAAATGTGATCAATAAAACCAAAAGTTGGTTCTCCAAACTTCTCCTAAGGTTGAGCAAAAAGGTAACAAAGATATCAGGAACAAGGAAGGACATAGATACATATGAAGGAGATTTTTTTAAACCATGAGAAAAAAAATATCTGTACAAATACATACTTTTTAAAAGCTAAAGAAGAGTTGCAAACAAGTGATTCACAGGTTATTTCACTGGACCTGCACAATGCTTTTTAAAAGCTGGGCTGACATTTTAAAATTTTCAAGATTCCAGATAACAACTCAGATTTCCGGCTTTTTGACAATTTAGCAGTTCTGGTGGCCTTATGAGAGGACAGCTGGAACCAAGTGGGGACTGCCACTAACAGAGAACTTGTATGCCCAGCACACACACACAGACATGTATGTATGGCCCTTCACTACCTATACAAAGCCTCCCCTGACTGAGAATACTATGGAAAGTGCTTGGTTGAAGTGTGAGAAAATTCTGCAATCGTTCCATGTCACCCATTTACTTGATCTTCCCTAGCCCTGTAGGCATGAGTTTATGACCCTTTATCTAAATGATGTGGATAATTTTCTTAGCAAAAATCAATTTGTTAAACTGACTCAAGAAGTAGAAGAGAACCTTTCTTGTTCTTCGTCCCCATAAGAAATCAATCAGGCCCCAAAGTTTTATGCTAGGTTCTATCAAATCCTTCATAGACTAGAACATTAAAACTATTCCGAAAAGTTGGAAAAAACACAGTTTCTTAATTTGTTCTATAAAGTTAATGTAACCTTTATACAAAAACAGACAAGATCTCAAAGTCAATTATACCTGTATACTCAACTCAATTATACCTCAGAATATAAACATACGAGTCCTAAATCAAATATCAGCTAATAAAATCTAATAAAGAATAAATGATAACATATCACGATCTGGTGGAATTTTATCCCAGGAATATAAGAATACCTCAAAATTAGGAAACTTAATCTTTTAAATTCATATAGAAAGAGATAAAGGAAAAACTATACAATCAAATTTGACATCCATTCCTGTTTTCTTTTAAAATGATAACCTGAATAGGCCAGGAGCAATAGTTCATATCTGTAATCTCAACACTTTGGGAGGTCAAGATGGGAGGTTACTTGAGCCCAGGAGTTTGAGACCAGCCTAAGCAACAAAGCAAGACCCTGTCTCTACAAAAAATAAATAGTCAGACACGGTGGCATGTGCCTATAGTACTAGCTACTCGGGAGGCTGAGGTGGGAGAACTGCTTAAGCCCAGGAGTTGGAGGCTGCAGTGAGCCATGATCATGCCACTGCATTCCCACTGCACTCCATCATGGGAAACAGAGTGAGACCCTGACACAAAAAACAAAATAAAACAAAACAAAAAAGATAACCAAATAAACTAGATAAAAGTAAACTTTAATTTGCTAGAAAGTATCAAAAGTTTGTACAGCAAGCATCAGACTTCAAGATAAAACATCTAAAGCATCCCATGGCCAGGACTGGACCAGGGAGCCATTACCAATGTTCTTGCTGGCACTGGTCTGAGGGTCCTAACAAAAGGCAAAGAAAAATTCAAATGCTGGAAAAGATGAGACAAAACTATCACTATTTGTAGAAGATACCATAATCTTCTAAAGTCAAGACAATCAATTCAAAAACTATAGAGTTAATTAGAGTTTGGTGAGATGACTGGGTAAAGGTACCCTGCTTTCCTATTTACCAGCAAGCATTAACTCTTTTTATTTTTATTTTTTTTTTGAGTTGGAATCTCACTCTGTCCGTCAGGCTGGAGTGCAGTAGCACGCTCACAGCCACTGCAGCCTTGACCTGTTGGGCTCAGGTGATTCTTCCACCTCAGTCTTCCAAGTAGCTGGAACTACAGGTGCACGCCACCATGCCTGGCTAATTTTTTTTGGATATGTTGTAGAGATGAGGTCTCATCAAGTTGCCCAGGCTGGTCTCAAACCCGTGGACTCAGGCAATTCTCTCACTCAGCCTCCCAAAGTGCTGGGATTGTAGGTGTGAGCCACTGGGCCCAGCCAGCATTAATTCTTTAGAACATTTATTTCTCCACTAAGATACCACTCATAACGGGCCCTAAACTATAAAATATAGGTGTGAAATGGGTGCAAAATGAACAAACCATAAAATCATAAAACAAGATACCAAAACCAACCTAGCATAGGGTGACATAACCATATTCTTGTAAGGGAAGATTCAATATTGGTGCCAATTCTCTCTTTTCATTATATATGCCTGCAGTTTTAAGGAAAAACATTTTTCTTTACAAGTAGCTATTATTATAACAAGTTTAAAAAATAATTGTAAATGAGCTAAAGATTAGGAAAGCAGTTACATTTTAAAATCTTAGTACAGAGCTCAAAAGAATTGTTTGATAAATAACAGCATAAATAAAAATCTCTTCTTTGACCCTCTCCTCACATCCTCTGGGGTAAATTAATTTTTTGGCTGGCTGTGGTTTTTTTGGCTTTTTGTGGCTCATGTCTATAATTCTAGCACTTTAGAAAGCTGAGACAGGAGAACTGCTTGAGCCTGGGAGTTTGAGATCAACCTGGGAAACAGCGAAATCTCATCTCTACCAAAAAAAAAAGCCAGGCATGGTGGCGTGTGCCTGTAGTCCTAGCAACTGGGAAGGTTGAGGTGGGTAGATCACTTGAGCCCAGGAGGTTGAAGCTGCAGTGAGCTATGATCCCACAACTGCACTCCAGTCTGGATGACAGAGTGAGAGACTGTCTCAAAAAAAATAATTAATTTTTGAGAGAAAACAAATCTGGTTACCTGCAGGTTACAAATAACAAAGAATGAATGACCAGATGGCTTTCCAGCAGAATTCTACAAAACATACAAGGAGGAGCTGATACCAATCCTTTTGAAAGTATTCCAGGCAATTGTGAAAGATGGAATTCTCCCCAAATCATTTTACAAAGCTAACATCACACTGACACCCAAACCAGGTAAAGATTCAACAAAAAAAGAACTACAGGCCAATATCCCTTATGAACATAGATACAAAAATCCTCAACAAGATTCTAGCAAATCAGATCCAAAAACACATCTCAAAAATCATCCACCATGACCAAGAAGGCTTCAATCCCCAGGATGCAGGGCTGGTTCAACATTCACAAGACCAAAAATGTCATTAAATACATCAATAGATGTAAAAACAAGAACCACATGACTATATCATCAGATGCAGAAAAAGCTTTTGATAAAATCCAGCATCGCTTCTTGATTAAAACCCTCAAACACCTAGGGATAGAAGGAACATACCTCAAAATAGTAAGTACCATCTATGATAAACCCACAGCTAGCATATTGCTAAATGGACAGAAACTGGAAATATTTCCCCTAAAAACTGGAACAAGACAAGGTTGCCTACTCTCATCCCTCTTGTTCAACATTGTGTTGGAAGTCCTAGCTCGGGCAATTAAACAAGAGAAGGAAATCCAGGGTATCCAAATAGGAAAAGAGGAAGTCAAGTTATTCCTCTTGGCTGATGATATGATCCTGTACCTTGAGAATCCAAGAGAATCTGTCAAAAACCTGCTTTCACTGATAAAGGACTTTGGCAAAGTTTCAGGGTACAAAATAAACGCAGTCGCACTCCTGTACACCAACAACAAGCAGGCAGAGACCCAAATTAAAAACACAATCCCATTCACAATAGCCACACACACAAAAAAGAAATACCTCGGCATCTTCCTAACCAGAGAAATGAAAGACCTTTACAATGAGAACTTCAAAACACTGCTCAAAGAAATTCAAGACACAAACAAATGGAAAAATATTCCATGCTCATGGATAGAAAGAATCAAGACTGTTAAGATGTCCATCCTACCAAAGGCAATCTACAGATTCAACGCAATACACATTAAGTTACCAACATCATTCTTCTCAGACCTGGAAATGACAATACAGAAATTCATATGAAAACATAAACGACCAGGAGTAGCCAAAACTATCCTTAGCAAAAGGAACAAAGCAAGAGGTATTACACTTCCAGACTTCAAACTTTACTATGAGGTTACAGTAATCAAAACAGCCTGGTATTGGTACAAGAACACAGGCACATAGACCAACGGAACAGGATAGAGATTCTGGAAGCAAAGCCTCAATTTCCCAACCAACTCATCTTTGACAAAGCCTCCAACAACAACCACTGGAGAGAGAAGAACCTATTCAGTAAATGGTGCTGGGAAAACTGGCTGATCACATGCAGAAGATTGAAACAGGATCCCTACCTATCACCATACACAAAAAATTAACTCTAAATGGATCGAAGACCTAAATGTAAAACCTCAAACTATAAGAATCTTAAAATTAGCTGGGCGTGGTAGCGCGTGCCTGTAGTTCTAGCTACTCGGAAGGCTGAGGCGGAAGGATCACTGGAGCCCAGCAGGTCGAGGCTGCGGTGGCCGGGAGCGGCCACTGCACTCCAGTCTGGGTGACAGAGTGAGACTCCAACTCAAAAAAAAAAAAAAATCTTAGAAAACGCAGGAGACACCCTTACAGAAATTGGAAGTGACAAACAATTCCTATTCAGCACCTTAAATGCCCATACCTTAAGATAAGCTGGGCTCGGTGGCTCAGCCTGCAATCCTAGCACTTTGGGAGGCTGAGGTGAGTAGACTGCCTGAGCCCGCGGGTTCGAGACCCGCATGGGCAACTTGATGAGACCTCATCTCTACAATAAATAAAAAAAAATTAGCTGGGTGTGGTAGCGCACACCTGTAGTTCCAGCTACTTGGAAGGTTGAGGCGGAAGGATCGCCGGAGCCCAGCAGGTTGAGGCTGCGGTGGCCGGAAGCGGCCACTATACTCCAGTCTGGGTGACAGAGTGAGACTCCAATTCAAAAAAAAAAAAAAAAGAAATAAGATAGACAAGTGGGACCTCATCAAAATCATGAGATTCTGCAAAGCAAAAGAAACAATCAACAGAGCAGGGAGACAACCCACAGAATGGGAAAAAATATTTGCCAATTGTATATCTGTCAAAGGCCTAACACCTAGGATCTACAAGGAACTCAAACATGCTGAAAGGAAAAAAACAAACAGCCCCATTAAATAGTGGGCAAAAGACATGAATCGACACTTCTCAAAAGAAGATATATGGGAAGCCAACAGACACATGAAAAAGTGCTCAGTCTCACTCATCATCAGAGAAATGCAAATCAAAACCTAACCCCAGTTAGAATGGCCATCATTAATAAAACAAACAACAACAGATGCCAGTGAGGAAGCAGAGAAAAAGGAACACTTCTACACTGCTGATGGGAATGCAAACTAGGGCAATCTCTCTGGAAGATAGTGAGGCGGTTTCTGAAAGAACTAGAAATAGCGACTCCAGTGCTGCCGACAGGAACGTGGAGATCTGGAAGATCAAAAAGCTCATTAAGAGCTTGGAGACGGACAGCAGCAATGGCACCAGCATATCATTGATCATTCCTCCCAAAGACCAGATTTCATGAGTGGCAAAAATGTTAGCAGATGAATTTGAAACTGCATCTAACATTAAGTCACAAATAAACTGCCTTTCAGTCCTGGAGTCATTACATCGGTACAACAAAGACTCAAACTTTATAACAAAGTACCTCCAAATGGTCTGGTGGAACAATTGTAACTGAAGAAGGAAAGGAAAAGAAAGTCAAAATTGACTTTGAACCTTTCAAACCAATTAATACGTCACTGTATTTGTGTGACAACCAATTCCATATAGAGGCTCTCATAGCACTACTTTCAGATGATAGTAAGTTTGGCATCATTGTAATAGATGGTAGTGGTGCACTTTTTGGTACACTCCAAGGAAATACACGAGAAGTTCTGCATAAATTCACTGTGGATCTCCCAAAGAAACACGGTAAAGGAGGTCAGTCAACCTTGCGTTTTACCCGTTTGAGAATGGAAAAGCGACATAACTATGTCGGAAAGTAGCAGAGACTGCTATGCAGCTGTTTATTTCTGGGGACAAAGTGAATGTGGCTGGTCTCGTTTTAGCTGGATCAGCCGACTTTAAAACTGAACTAAGTCAATCTGATATGTTTGATCAGAGGTTGCAATCAAAAGTTAAAATTAGTTGATATATCCTATGGTAGTGAAAATGGATTCAACCAAGCTATTGAGTTATCTACTGAAGTCCTCTCCAACATGAAATTCATTCAAGAGAAGAAATTAATAGGACAATACTTTGATGAAATCAGCCAGGACACAGGCAAGTACTGTTTTGGCGTTGAAGATACACTAAAGGATTTGGAAATGGGAGCTGTAGAGATTCTAACAGTCTATGAAAATCTGGATATAATGAGATATGTTCTTCATTGCCAAGGCACAGAAGAGGAGAAAATTCTCTATCTAACTCCAGAACAAGAAAAGGATAAATCTCATTTTACAGACAAAGAGACCGGACAAGAACATGAGCTTATTGAGGGTATGCCCCTGTTGGAATGGTTTGCTAACAACTATAAAAAATTTGGAGCCACGTTGGAAATTGTCACAGATAAGACACAAGAAGGATCCCAGTTTGTGAAAGGATTTGGTGGAACTGGAGGTATCTTGCAGTACCGAGCAGATTTCCAGGGAATGGAGTACCAAGGAGGAGATGATGACTTTTTTGACCTTGAAGACGACCAGGCAGTCGACATGGGTCCGGCAAAACGTGCCTCACCCTCCAGCATCTAACCCAAGGAGCATAACCACGGTGGAATCCAAACAGATCCCTGCCTTACAACTGGAACACTTCCAGAACTTAATCCATGAGCACTGGATATTGAAAAGAAAACAGAAACAAAACCAGATCCCACCCTACACTTTGGTTTGTCATGGTGTCAGCACAGCAGCCTACAACTAAGTTCCTAAATGCCACTTTGGACTAATTTAAAAAAGAATCCCAGTTTTTACTTTTACTCGGTGAAATTGGTTGCTCTTGTATTTTATGGAAAAAAAAGATTTTTTTAACCTTCATACATAGGAGCAAAAATACTTTGCTGTAAACCTTCAAAAGTTAATAGAAGTGAGATCATACTGGTTTCTTATTTCGATTGGGGAAAAACTAAATTGCTGCATTGTGCAGTGACCCATTTACATGGCATTCTCAGCTTAGACTGCATAAGAAGAAATATATGTGGTGAAATGTTGGAGCCATTTCTCTTGGCTTCTGTTTAATGTTGAAAGGGTGAGCTAATAGGAGGTAATTTCTTTTTTTTTTTCTTTCTTTGAGTTGGAGTCTCACTCTGTCACCCAGACTGGAGTGCAATGGGCACTCCCGGCCACCGCAGCCTCGACCTGCTGGGCTCCAGCGATCCTTCCGCCTCAGCCTTCCAAGTAGCTGGAACTACAGGCACGCGCTACCACGCCAGGCTAATTTTTGATTTGTTGTAGAGATAAGATCTTGTCAAGTTGCCCAGGCGGGTCTCGAACCCGTGGACTCAGGCAATCCACTCACCCCGGCCTTCCAAAGTGCTGGGATAACAGGTTGAGTCACCGAGCCCGGCCAGGAGGCAATTTCAACTTCACTCCCTCACACTACCCCTTCTCCTGCCATCGCTGAGACTGGCACTTTTAAGGATGCATTTGCATTGCAAAGTAAACTGACTTGTGAAGCATCTGGGCCAGTGCACTGTGTACTTCCATCTGTTTGACAGATGCATGTGTGCCTGGTGTTTGGGAGTTCTTGGTATCAGTTGTTTTGACAAGGGTCCCCATCATCTTAACCGACTAGAAACCAATTTGGGATGGATATGGTGGGGCTTCTGTGCTATTGCTGAGATTGGGAGAAATAAAACATGAAATTTAAGTGGAAAAAGAAAAAAGAACTAGAAATAGACCTTCCATATGACCCAGCAATTCCCTTATTGGGCATATATCCAGAGGAACTCATATCATTCTACAAAAAAGATGCCTGCACATGTATGTTTGCTGCAGCTCTATTCATAGTAGCAAAAACATGGAACCAACCATGTTGCCCATTAGAGCTGGACTGGATAAAAAAAATGTGGTACATATACACAATGGAATATTATGCAGTCATAAAGAAGGACAAACATATGGACTCTGCAGCAGCTTAGATGGATTTAGAGTTGATCATACTCGGTGATCTATCACAGAAGCAAAGAACAGAGTACCATATGTTCTCACTCATAAGCGGTTCTTGAACAAATTATAATACTATAAGAAAGCGATTGGCAATAGTGGGAAACTGTGAGGGGAGAGGGGATGAGATTGGCAATTGAGAGAAACTGCTAGGGGAGGGAGGGGCATACCTCATCAAGGGTACCTGCATAATCAACGTTTATATACCTAACCCTGAATTGTACCCCGCATCTTTATAATAAAAAAAAGAATGAATATGAATCTTAGCAAGCAAACAACTGATTTCAAAGCTATCAACTCTTTCCCTACATACTACTTGTGAATAGAGACAATTATTTTTCAAGTAGTCAATATTTTGAAACTTTTGAATTAGTATAAAATTCCTAAAAATGATACTTGATTAGAACCAACTAACATCTATTAAAAGGGCTTTAAGGTAAATGGCCTGTCAAATGGATTCAGAGGAGTGAAGTGACATGGCCACGGGTCAAGTGACACCAAGAGTCACCAGAAGCTGAAGAGGCAGGAAAGATTTTCTCCTAGAGTTTTCAGGGAACAGTCTTGCTGACACCTTGATTTTGAATTTCTGGTCTCCAGAATTGTGAGACAATAAACATTACTTGCTTTAAGTCTCTCTCACACACACACACACACACACACACACACACACACACGCACGCGCGCGCTAACGCATAGACATACATGGTTCCAGAATAACTATTACTCTCTGAATGCTACTAATGTGGCTCATTTCCCTAAATTGTATTAATGGCATCTTGATTTCTTATGACTTCTTGACAGGATAGTGAAATAAGAACGTATCTTCTGGTTGCTATAGGGATGAGACTGGTTTTTTTCTTTGTAAATGATATAACAATTTAAAAGAACTCAATTTCAGGGGCAACCCTTTGGGTCCCATCCCACTGTGGGAGCTTTTCTGTCCTCTCAATAAATCCTTTCTCACACACACACAAAAAAGAAATCAATTTCAGTTTTATTTTTTAGGACAGACGGTATTTTCTCCCTATCATTACTTCTACACACATCCCATTTTCACCAGAACAGCCGTGATAATACTGTATATTATATTCCTAAATGAATGTATAACTTCAGGCAACGTTACATCAATAAATTATTATTCCTATAAGATTTTTCAGTCTTAGCAAAGGAATTTCCCTTTTTCCTAAAAGTTGTCCTGGGGCATTTCTGTGTTTAGCCATGGTTCAACTGGAGAAATGAAGAAAGGATTTCTGAAACCAGAGTGGTAGCTACTGCATCCATTGCATGTGTAAATAAGGGTAACACCACAGGATGTGGATACATCCAACCTGAGCCTCCAACAAGCCTGTCTGGCTGAGGCCTTAGAAGATCCTCTTTGTCATCTACATGTGATAACATCATCATTCCCAGAACTCCAGGGAGGAGCAATGAGGCTTCTCCACGTTGGACTGGGCACAGTACTAAGTACAGGTTCATCTACCATCTTTTTTCACCTAAATTATATTTAAATCACACCATTTTTCTGAAATCACCATAATGTCACAGTTATATATAATCTCAGAAGCTTACATCGACACAACATGATGGAAAAACTAGGGATAAATCAGGATGCCCAATTCTAGTGGTATCAGCCCCTGGAGAAGGAAATGCCAAGTGCAGGGAGAGAAAGAGGGTGATGTCCCATTCAGAGAAACTTCCAGATTCCAGGCTTCTCCATGGCAGGCCAGCCATTTCTGTTCAGCACCAGGACTGGAACTGCTTATACACTGAGGGTTTTTGTTTGAGATGCAAGGGTGGTTTGTACTTAAGGCTTGCAGACAGTAACTCCCAAGAAGGTGCTCTGAAAATCCCTGACAAACATGGAGTTTCAGGCATAGAGGCCACTGGCCCTACTGTCAGTGACAGCTGCATCCCTGGAATGAAATCTGAGATGCGGAGCCCTCATGGTCACTTAGTCCAACCACCTACCAATTCTTCTGCTGACTCTCTTCTGCACCTTCCCCATTGTGGGAACTCATCCCCACGCCACACAATCCGTGATCCCTCTGAACAGCCCGCTGGGACTCTGCCCCATGCACCCAGAGCTGCAATGTCTTCTCACACCTAACACATGGGGTCTAGATCCCACTCCCAGGAGCTATCTGGGACAAGCTGAATGTCTCCTTTACATTGTGGCTGCTCAGGCCAGCTGCCTCAAGTCCTTCAAGCTCCCCACTTGGCAGTGTCCAGCCTAAAAACTGTCCTGATAGACAATTTGCTACCTCTGTTCTGACTTTAGGCTTTGCCTTGTGACTTCAAACTATCATGACCTTCCAGGTTCTGACCCACTCTCCACAGGACCTACCAAGACATGGCTTTTCCATCTGCACATGCATAACGAATATAAACACTCATAGGACTCGGGGGGAGCCCCAGGCCAACAACCAATACAATAGCCTGCTGTCTCTGGGGCAGCCTCTTTGGGAGCCTTGAAACCCTGTCCTCTGCAGTGGCCCTTCCCTGGGCTCAGGAGCCCTGGCATTCCCATCTCTGCTCCCTGCTAGGGTAGTTTCTTGTCTCTTATACCTCGTTCCCCTGTAAGGCCAGAGCACCTCATCAGCCTCTTTCCACCATTCCTTTGAGTCCTAGGGACCAAAGTCAGCCAGGTAGAGAAGTTGGCACCTACTCTTCTATTTCTTCTCCTCAACGTCTTTCCTTTACAGAGTACTGATGACCAGAGATCTTACCCCACTTAGCTGCATGATGTGCTCTATAGGTCCCCCAGTTTCCTGCAGTGCAATTCCCAACACAAGGAACTATTTTTAAAAACTCTGCTTTTTAAAAAGATCATGCAAAAAACTTACCTGGAATTACAGACTTCAACGGCAGATATAAAACTAAAACATCACCTAATGTGATTCTCTCATTTTGCAGGTAGAAGATTAAGACCCAGGGAGGAAAGAGGCAGGGCTCCTGGGGCAGATCCAAGGTTGTAGCCTGGGGTTGACTGCCAGAAGGATCCTCCACAGGACCCAGATCAGGAACATCCCAGGAGAGCAGTGACCTCAATGTATCTCTGGCCTGCACTGCCACCACCCCAAAGGAACCGCGCTGAGACTGCCCATTTCTGAAGCAGGCTGATCGCCACCATCCTGCCACCCGCCCCCACCCCTACTCCTACTACCAGAACAGCAAACTCCTGAAAACTGTGCATGCGTGGGTGGCAGAGAGCAGTTTTTAGTACCCTTTCTGCTGTGCTGTCTTCAGCTGCTGGCTACCTGGATGCTCAAGTCCTCATGGGACTGAGGCTACAGAGGTGCTACTACAGCTGGATGCTTCGTCCCAGCTCTGACCTCCCCGTGCCCTACCCCTCTGGCTATCTTGACCAAGGGCAAGTCTCTAGCAAAGCTTTACAGCTGCCTCACCCTGTATCCACAGTGGCCCAGGCCAAGGAATCACTGGTCAGTGACAAACCACAGCTGGAGAATAAGTCTCTGGTTCCAAAAACAAACAATAACTTGAATTAGAGATATGCCCCTTTGAAGAAAACAAAACACCAACTGCTCTCCCAAGCCCCATCAGGGACTACAGGACATCAGGGAAAGTGTTGGGAGCAGAATGACCCCCCAGGCCTCTTCCTCACAGTACAGTGGTCAGAGAAGAGGCCTAAAGCATGAGGCAGGCAGAAGGGTAGGCAGGAACACAGCTCTAAACACCTGCTCTGAGAGGCCTGGGCTGCCCAGTGCACCTTCCCTTCAGATCCATCTCCAGCAAGTATACCTGTACTCCTCCATCTTTATAAGTTACGGGTGTGCATGTCTGCTTTCCTTTCTACCCTGTTGGGGACAGATGGAGAATAGGCTCCGAGCAGCAGAGTGCTCAGTAAACAGTTCCTGAACTTACAAGGCTTCCTCATGGGAACACAGAGCCTGGGCATAGCCTGTGCCGTGCCAGTGGGCGTGCCTAGGCTGAGGTGGACCTGACCAAGCTGTCTTGTATCATGCACGTTTCCCATCCCGTCTGGAAAACTGGCAGCTGATACAAGGAGTCTACCCATACACACTGGGGTCTCTGTCAGGAACCTCCCTACTGGCACCCAAGGATGCAGCTAATGCCTTGACATGCCACCTTCAACAGAGTGGGGCCTGAAGATGCACACGTGGCTGGGTGTTTTCCAGGGTGTATTTACCTGCTCGTCCACGTAGGCATCGATCCTCTTCTGGCACTCTAGCCACTCCTCGGCAACTCTGCGCAGCTCTTCCTCGGAGCGCTGGTACCTCTGTAACAAGGTGCTGTACGTATCTTCATTGCAGGTGTCGTGCGTGGTGGTTCCTAGCCTAGGAGAAAGAAGACCTTGTAACAAAAGAAAGAGCCCAAAGGCTCTGAACCAGAGATCAGAAATGTGCTACCTGCTGCTGCTGTCCTGTTTTGCCATTGCACCTCCCAACGTGAAAAACGGAGAAGTCACTACATACCACAGTAGGGCTGCTGTGAGGGGTTATAGATCTTATGTACAAGGCACCCAGAACAGACTCTGGTATAAAGGAAAGGAGATGTTCGAAGAAGTAACAGCTCCTAAGGAAAAAAACTAGCACTGAACACCACTGTGGCCTGAGTACCACAATAGCCTAACAATTCAGTTTACTAAGTGTGGAGTTGTAAACTATTTTACCCTATTGAAATAAACTGACCGAGCGACAACAAAACATTTGATGAAAAATAAAATTTAGATTTGTCAAAAAAAGTAAAAAACTCTGACTCACTTCAAGAAATATAATTGTAGTTTTAGTTTTATGTATTCTATATATTATATTATACGAGGGGGGACCAAAAAACCCTGAAATTTATTTTAAAATTGTGTACTTATTCTTACATGTTTAAACTTCAGTCACTTTCAAAGTACTCTCCATGTGATGCAATACACCTATCAAGACGCTTTTTCTCCACTGCTCAAAACAGTTTTTGAACTCATCAATTTTGATGTCTTTTAGTGCTTCTGCTGTTTTTTGTTTCACCTCTTCCACATCGGCAAAATGTTTCCCTTTGAGGACTTTTTTCATCTGGGGAAACAAAAAAAAGTCGCTTGGGGCAAGATGGGGTGAATAGGGAGGGTGGGGCAAGGGCTTCATGAGGTTTTTGGTCAAAAACTGCTGAACATTCAGCACGGTGTGGGCAGGTACGTGGTCATGGTGGAAGAACCAGTCACCTATTTGCCACAACTTGGGATGTTTCTTCCACAAATTGTGATGCAACCTTCTCAAAACTTCCAGAGAAAAATGTTGGTTGACTGTTTGATTTGAAGGAACAAATTCTGAGTGTATTACAAAAGGGCTCACCCTCCAAAAGATAATTCTGGAATTTTTTGGGTCCCCCCTTGTATTGTATCATATTATATATTATATTATGAAAGATGGTTAAGATGGAAAGTGAGAAAACAAACAGGAAACAAAAGAAACACATATAGGAGGACAGTGAGAAAAAACACCTAGATTTCTGAAAAGAGAAAATGAGGCAAGAGGGTGACTCAGGAGAGAGAAGGCTGGTGGGGGCCATGAGGGAAGGATGAAGAGAGAAGTGAAGGCACATGTAGGTTACTATCAGAAAAAATTCAATTTCCTAATACCTGAATATACCAATATGTGGGCCCAAATAACTGGAATATAGACATTTTGATACGGATTATTTCAAGCCAAAGACAACATTTATAATATATTGAGAGCACAATGATGATGCATACTTAGAAATTAACACTGTTTACATAAAAAACTGGAAGCTACCCAAACACATTATGGTACATTTAAATGAAGGGATACTAGGTAACTATATACTTGTTACAACTTTTTTCTTTTTTTTTGAGTTGGAGTCTCACTCTGTCGCCCAGATTGGAGTGCAGTGGCATGCTCCTGGACACCGCAGCCTCGACTTGCTGGGTTCCGGCGATCCTTCCGCCTCAGCCTTCCAAGTAGCTGGAACTACAGGCGCGCGCTACCACACCTGGCTAATTTG